GGCGTGGCCTGCTCCCATTGGTTGAAGCGACCTGGCCAGGGGCTCGGCATTGGATGCCTCGGCTGCTTCCGCTACTTTTCATTCGCACGGCGAGAGAGAAAAAAAGAGAGAGCGAGAGCAGAGCGAGGGGGAAGGAGTAGAGCAGAGAGAGAAAGAGATGCGCCGGCGGAGGGAGCGTGGCTCGGCGAGCGGTCCGCAGCGGCCCAGGGGCGGCTCGGTTCTTGCCGGGGAGGAGGAGCGCGGCGCGCGGCTGCGCTGCTAGCCAACTCTGAGTGGCGCGGCGGCCTTGGGCGCCGGCGAAGTGGGCCCCGGTGTGGGCCGGCTGAGCGGCGGAGGGCGCAGAGAGAGGATGGTGGCGGTGACGGCCTCGGCTCCGTCGACGGCGTAACATTGTGCGGCCCCGTAATAAAAAATTCTGGTTCCGCCACTTCGGAGGTCGCGGGCGAGATGGGCTCGGTGTCCTCCCTTCATCCCAACAGAGAACCATATCAAGGAGAAGAAGAGGAGGGAGCAGAAGCAGAGGGCAAGCAGAGAGGGGCGTGGAGCGGGGAGGCGCTCGGTAGGGCGGCGCCGCGGCGGCGGTCCTAGCACGAGGCAGCGCCAAATGAGGAGGGTGGAGGTCCCGGCGGCCAGCGGGACGGCGACCTTGGCGGTCCGCTTGGCTGCACGGGTTCTCGTGCTTTCCAAGCCAGGCATCCAGAGAACTTAGCTCGGTGACGTGCTCAGCCATGACAGCCTCACCGGCCTTTTATAGGTGATGAGGTAAGGCGATGGAGCACAGTAAGGCGGTGGCTATGGCAAAATATCTCGGCGACCGTTGGTGATGTTTGCCGGCAGAGAGGGCGAGCTGCAGTCCACGCGTCCATGGCAGTACTCGAGCTGTTGACGGATTTTTGCGGAGAGGATAAGAACGACGCTGGAGCCGTGCGAACTGGGCCGGAATTGGCATTGGGCTGAGCCCATCCGGGACGGTGGAGGGAGCAGTAGGCTACGTGCTCGGTGAACAGGAGATGAGAAAGAATTTGAGAAGAGAAAAATTATTTCTTTGTTGAAAGAATTTGGAACAGTGGTATTTAGAGATTTTAGAAATTCAAGAGAAAAATATTTTGGTGCTGCGATTAAATTCTAAAACCACAAGAACTAAAAATGCAGATGGTGAAGTTTAAATGCAAGGTTTTGAATATAAACATTTTCTGAAACGGTTTTGCGGAAAAATAGGTTAACCAAGTTTTAATTTGTTGTAAAATTTAAAAAGTATCAATTTTTTAGTGAATTTTATCATGATGGAAAACACAGGGTGTTACAATTCTGCTGCATCAGTGTTTTGGCGGACAGTCCGTCATGACACCGGACAGCTCCAGAAAACATGAATTTTGGGAAATTTGGATTTAAGATAAAGAGATGGAATTTGGGGTTCTAGTGCATCTCACAAAGGTTGTTGGAACAACTTGAGGGTCAGAGATCACCTTGATGAAGGTAATTTTGAGGATTGACCTAGGTCAAACGACCGGGTTGACTAGAGTTAACTTGGTTTGACCGGGGGGGTGTTGTGGAGTCTATTAGCTAGACTTTGGGGTCCTTGTCCATTGAGAGTTGAGATCTAAGGGCTTCCGTTAGGTTGACGAGATCGTCCATCGCAGGAGGAGGACCAAAAGAGTTTTGTCCTTTTGCGCCAAGGTTGATGGAGACTCATTATCTGAATGTGTTGTGGTGTGTAGCATGAGTTAGGTCTTAGCCCAAGGGAGATGTTGGTTACGGTTCCGAGCTTCAAGGGGCATTTTTGAATAGTTTAGTAGGAACAACCGTTGGGTCATGACACAATAAGAAGTACCACTCTTACTAAATCTCTTTAGCTTAAGCTACTTTAGTGGGAGTTAGAGTTGAGTCAGCTTGCTTGGATTCTAGATGTAGACTTCAGGAGTCTGGTATAAATCTTGTATCTTTCCTTTTGTAAAACGTATAGAGTATTCAATATATTACTTTCTCTTTACTTAAGTACTTCGTTCAAGTATTACTTACTTTGTGTAGTAGTGTTGATCTCTATTTTAGACCATAGTACTATAATATAAGCCTTGTTTAGCATAATTGGTTATTCCATAGCATGGGTTCTTCATCCCTTAGTGGATTCTCTAGTCTGATTGTCATGCAGGTTTAGAGTAGTATCAAATAGTGTAAGCGTGGTGCTTATACTGTCGGGTACCATTACTACAAAAATGATAATCATGCTTGAGAAAAAACAATGTTTGGTGTAGAGCTCCAGCAATTTTATTTCCACAAGCCAATTTTTTCTCAAATGATCGGTCAAACGACGACATTACACGGAGGCAACACCATTATTAGGCCCACTACTACTGCCACTATGGGTCAGCATGAGAGGCAAAAGCATTTTGCGGGGAAGCCACGACACGTGCCACGAATAAATTGGTTGCGATCCTGGCGTCGGCAAAGACCTGAGCAAATTTCATTCCAAACGCAAACCCCATGATAGTAAGTACTCCAATGATAGCATGGTGGTAGTGGGCCATCACCGAAATTTGTTCCATGAATAGGTGCTGTCTCTGTGAGAAGACGCACATGCATGCGAACGTTAGCCAAAGCAAGAGACAAAGATGACTGGTTCAGTAATAGCTTATGACTCCTTATGCGTGTGCACTTACCATGGCCCGTGACGACGATGAGAAGGAGGATAATGACGACCCCTACATAGAGGCTCCTCCTTGAAGTCTCCATTACTTGACTTTGTTTTGTGTATAGATGAAGAACAAGCAAATGGTGGATGAGTGAAAGAACAGGGGCTCCCATCATGGCAATATATAGCACATGTGGATGGGGAAAAATAAAGTGCTACCCCAAAATCTTACATGAACTATGGCACCGGTAACACCTCTTTTTTTGTGGAAACAACCCCTGGTTTTATGGAAGACTAACAATTATATATAGTCAAATAGACCTTCTTTTGTGGAAGAAACTTGCTCATTTAAGGATTGCCAAGTAAGTATTGTTCACTGCTTAGAATGAAGATGTTGAATTAATGTTTTCCATTTGTTTGTTCATGTTCCAATTTCAAAGCAATTCTGTATGTTCTTCCAGTTTCCATCGTCATATGGTTCGACTGTGTGAATCATTTACACATAAGGCCTTGTTTGGATGTAATCGGATTCGCATCAATCCACATGTGTTGGAGTGGATTGGAGTGTAACTTGAACTAAATTTCACCCCAATCCACCTAACACATGTGGATTGAGTTGAATACAATAACATCCAAACAAGGCCGAAGGTGGCAATTTGCTAGTGTGACATCTCTGAAAGTTTCATCTTTGCTATGTCAACAACTTGGATTTCCAATAACCAAGAGAAGAGATAGAAGGAACTTGTCTTCAGTGAGATATTGCAGCATTGAAATTCCATACATATGGACGTGGTCTTTTTTTCGAACTTACTGGAGTTGTGCTTACCTAGTAGAAGTAAATTAGGATTCCTGTGCACACTTAGTGATCTCCCGGCCCGCTAGCTAAGCCATTTACGCTCATGACATCCATTTATGCTTGCATATATTTGTTTCCTTCTGATTTTCCTGAATTGGAAAGCCCCTACATCACTGACCTAATTCATCGTTTCTATTTAGGCGATTAGGCAAGGTAATAAGATAGAATAGTTTCAATTTTTGTTTGATTGTGTTGTCTTGTTTTTTTTTTCAGTGAACTTGTACTGGGCCATGTTGTCACTTTTGCTAGTGATTACTGTGGTCGTTTGTTCTTAAATTGTGTTGTCTTGTTTTTTATTTCCGGTAAACTTGTACTGGGCCATGTTGTCAGTTTTGCTGGTGATTACTGTGGTTGTTTGTTGTTAAGTGCTTGGTTACTTCAGCCTCTACTCTTTGTCGTGCACTAAACTAATGGATCGCTTGTGCAGAGAAATTAATTTCGTCTCCAAATTTATACACATGATGAATGGTGCTCGAGGAATCAATGCTGGTCAGCGAATGTACGCCATGTTCATCCATGACTCTCGATCACCATTTCACTGCTTGGCAGACGGCTCTCTGTTTCCTGGTGGTTATACTCAAGTGCCACCCGATTTGTACATTTATGGAGCTAGTGGGAAAAGGAAATGCGGGTCCCATTGGCATTGGGTCCATACGTGAAGGCATGTACAACGACCCATCTCTTCACTCCATCTTCGTGATGTATTTTTTTCAAGAAACCTCCCGCCGATGCCATGAGACGGAAGCCTCGTCATCTCGTGAGACGATGGCGAAGGCTCGTGGCCCGAGGCGGAGACGTTAGCTCTAGCAGGAAACTCATGGGCAAATTTATTTTTCTGTCAAGCCATTTGTTACAGTATTTGCCCATAGGTAGGGATGAAAACGGATCGGATACGAATGGATAACACTGATATTATATTTGTGTTCACATTTCTAGTCGGATTCGGATTCGAATACGGATAGTATCAGCCATGCCGGATAGGATACGATTAGATGTCGACATCATAAATATGCGATTTGAGTATTTGGATACGGATACGGTATCGGATGTTGAATATCCAGACTCGAATATGGACACATCTGAACCCCTCTAAACGGATTCGGACTCGAATACGGTTGGAAAATATCCGTACCGTTTTCATCCCTACCCATAGGGAGGTCAAAGAAATCATTTCCATGTGGTTTTGTCTGTTTTTGTTGTCCGTTTATCGAACACATGTAAATTGAATATGCTTATGCGGTGGACCCCACGGCCAATGCATCGCGGTTGTGTTGTTCTACTGATGATAATGCTCGATGATTTTAGCAGCAGGTGAGGACAACGAAAAGGGTGCCAACGTAGTCCGTAGATATACCAACAGCAGGTGAGGACAACACGTAGTCGAAGATGCCCTTGCGGCATCCCCTGCTACCAGACAAAGCAAAAGCATATTGCAAGAGAGAGAGACTGACAGGGTGACACGAAACACACACACGTACACACACAGGCATTGAAGCAGCCGAGATAGATCGAGGGATGCCGACGGCGACGGAGTCGAAGGGCGTAACCCACCGGACGCTGGAGGTGAACGGCATCAAGATCCACGTGGCCGAGGCCGGCGACGGCTCCGCGGGCGGCACGGTGCTGTTCCTGCACGGCTTCCTGGAGCTCTGGCACTCGTGGCAGCACCCGCTGATGTCGCTCTCGTCGCGGGGCTACCGCTGCCTGGCCCCGGACCTCCGAGGCTACGGCGACTCGTCGGCGCCGCCGTCCCCGTCCTCGTACACCATCTTCCACCTCGTGGGCGACGTGGTGGGCGTCCTCGACGCGCTCTCCCTGGCTCGGGTGTTCGTGGTCGGCCAGGGCTGGGGCGCGCTCCTGGCGTGGCACCTCGCCACGGTCCGCCCCGACCGGGTCCGCGCACTCGTCAACATGAGCGGCGCCTTCATACCGCGCAACCCCAGCGTGCGCCCGCTCCAGGCGTTACGGCGGCTCTTCGGCGACGGCTACTACCTGCTGCGGCTGCAGGAGCCCGGAGCCATGGAGGCGGAGTTCGCGCGGATGGACACCAGGTTCATCTTCAGGAAGCTCCTCACCACCCGCGAGACGGGCGCCATCTCACTGTCGCCGGAGTGGTGGGGGCCGCAGGACCAGGACATCCCACTGCCGCCATGGCTCACGAAGGAGTTCGTACACGTCCTCGCCGCCAAGTTCGACGAGACAGGGTTCGCCGGCGCCATGAACTCCTTCCGCTGCCTCGACCTGTAAGAAAGAACAAATGAATTCAGGATCCGATAAACCTATTCTTGATCCTCTTTATCATTCATTACATCGTTTCGCTTTCGCTGATTAATAATCTCAGAGTGGAAGTACTAATCTGTGCTGTGCACTTTGCCGGTGTGGTGTAGCAACTGGGAGCTGACGGCGCCATGGACAGGGGCTAAGGTGACCGTGCCGACCAAGTACATCGCTGGGGAGGACGCCATGTCGTACAACCGGGTGAAGGAGTACATACACAAGGGCGGGCTCAAGCGCGACGTGCCGGGACTGGAGGAGGTGGCGGTGATCGCCGGCGCTGGGCACTACGTCCACCTCGAGAAGGCGGAGGAGGTGACGGAGCACATCTACGAATTCATCAAAAAGTTCTGAGACGTACTGCTGCTAGAGTGCAGTCTGCAGACATGCTAGTGTGACGGGCACAGTAATAGTATGTATGTACCATAAAAATGGAAAACCGCATGAAGTTTGCTATTTGGATTTTGGGAAATTTTGAATGTGCATGTTTTATTTTCCAATTGGATGAGCAAGCAGGCCGTTGCACACACTAGCTGTTCGTACTCATTCTTGTAACTGGAGTGGGCCCACTTAGATTCAAGGTATTCAGTTGATTATCAATTTTTTTTTAAAGTTACATGTAGTAAATTTCAAAACCTAAGAACTTCAAATGAATATATGTGGACCTAAACAGCTTCAATCAAAAGTTTGTAAACTACAAAAGTTACATATATAACGTATGCAGAACAACAACTTTGATATAGACCAAGTCAACACATCCAAACAAGCAGATCACTGCCCGCGTGAGGGGGCTGGCCAGCACCGGCCAGCCAGCCAGCCCAGCCGAACAGGAAGAATCTCCTAACAAGCAGAAGTATCGATGCTTACCTGCTCGATATTCAAAACCATTTCCACATCTTTATATTTCTCATTTCCTTGCTTCGTCTGTTTTTTTTATTTAAACAACTGTGGTGGTGATCTCCACTGAGATGCCTTTAACATGCAATTAGTCGCCATTAAGTGAACGGACAAATTTTCTTTTTGGTACTTCTTATCTTTCCTATCTTTTTTTCTGACCTTTGCTATTTATCTATTTACAATTTTTTTACTAGATCTATCATATTTTTATATGCTTGATTGTGTTTTAGGATTTATGTTACAACTGTCTACTGTGTTGCATTTATAAAAAATCTAATAGATTTGAACACATAAAATTTATCGACGGATAACTAGAGAACAGACCTTTGATCCTCGGCTAAAATGGGCTCTAGTCCCGAAATTTTTTGCGCCCGGGACTAGAAATACCTTTAGTCCCGGTTGGTGTCTCCAACCGGGACTAAAGGTCCCTTCCCCAACGGCTACTGCGCCAGACAGAGGTGGCAAGGACCTTTAGTCCCGGTTGGAGCCACCAACCGGGACTAAAGGTATACTTTTACTCCCGGTTGGTGGCTCCAACCGGGAGTAAAGGTCTACTCCCGGGCCGTGGCTGCGCCCGGGGTTGGAAAGTTACTTTTAGTCCCGGTTGGAGCCACCAGTCGGGACTAAAGGTCCCCCCTTTATATCCCGGTCGTCTTCTTCTTCCTCCCCGAGCCCGAGCTCAGCATATTTTGAATCTCACTGCACTAGTGTTCTTGCTTCCTCCCTCCCTCCATTGTTCCTCCATCCATTATTCGATTTCTCCATCGATTTCTTCGATTCCTCCGTCGATTCTTCAGTTGTAAAGGTTACCAATCTCATACTCTCATTTTTCACCATTGTCTTATCTCATTTTGTTCACTATATATATATGGTTCTTTATTTTGGTTTTTTTCATTTGTAAGCAATTTGAGCTCAAAATCACTTCAAGCTTGCATATTTACATGAAATAAGGTTAAAGTAGCTAGTTGAACTTGCGGACCGTGTTCATCTCGGCGAAACACGTTCTCTGCCGAAAGATAGCAGGACGTCAAGGAGGAGCTTTGATTCTCTGAGGGAGAGCGGCAGCGGTCGTGGAAGACCGTGTTCCCTTCCTCGTAGAATTGGAGCTCTTCCGTGGTCAAAATCTGGTGCCGTCCACGTGGAGAAATGCTCGCGAGATAATCACGTAAGCAAGGTCAACTAATACGGATGGTTATTTATTCACATGTCCTGATATAAATCGCATGAGTGCATCAATCACCGTACCCAAGCGTAGTATATATATAAATATAAACTTAGAAAATAGTTAGAAAATTATAGAAAATCCATACTAGTTGAACTTGCGGACCGTGTTTATCTCGGCGAAACACGTTCTCTGCCGAGCGATAACGGACGTCAAGGAGGAGCTTTGATTCTCTGAGGGAGAGCGCAGCGGTCGTGGAAGACCGTGTTCCCTTCCTCGTAGAATTAGAGCTCTTCCGTGGTCAAAATCACGGTGCCGTCCGGTGGAGAAATGCTCACGAGATGATCACGTAAGCAAGGTCAACTAGTATGGATGGTTATTATTCACACGTCCCGATATCGTCGCAGTAGATCTCATTATGTGTGTACACTCCTATTCTTACATTAATTTGCGTAAATATCATGTGAATTACTTACTCCTTGCATGATAAAAGACGAGAACACAATGACCATTAAAAATATCATTGTTTAGAGATCTAGATAATTTTATAGTTTCTTAATTTTATTTGTTTATAAAAGGAGAAATTTATAGTGTATTAAAAATGAGTATAGAGTAGAGATGGCAACTGCTTTCGGGTCCTCGGCCTCTCATGGGTTTCCAAAGCGACTTAGGCCGGGCCTCCCTCTCATTCCATGCGGCAAGTGTCGTGATGAGACGAAGATTGTGATGGAGTACCGAGTGAAGAAGGAGGGTCCCAACAAGGATCGTATCTTCTACAAGTGTCCGGATCGCAATGTGAGTTATTTTATCGTATTTAATGATTATGGTTAGTTTATACCTATTTTCATGATGGTTGTGATTAAAATTCTAATTTTTGTTTTAATTTCATTGGGATGGCGGTGGGCGATGTTCAGGCTTCTCTTTGGGAGGAAAGAGTATGTTGAACTCGTGCAAAATATCTTGCTGTGAGTGCGAATCTGACGGCTAATGAGGCGTGATCCGACCCAAAGAAGCCCAAAGATGTTGCACAATCGGGGATCTGTCTGCATTTTAGTTGAGATTGGTCGTGAAATCCTCACGCTACTTGAAATGTATTTTAGCTTTAGTTCTTTTAGTGGTAGTTGGGATTGTCTACATTGTAGCGATGCTTTCATAAATTTGTATCTTTTGTGGTGGCACGCATGTTGTATAAATAATTAATTATGATCTAGGTTTTAATATGGTATTTATGTCATGTAATGTAGATGAGCCGTCATTGGATGTATAATGCTGATCGCCGCTCCCAAGAGTTCATTGACGGCGTGCTTCTTTATTACGTCTTGGCCGAGGCAAACAAACGCGATGGTTTCATGTCTTGCCCATGTGCCATATGTAAGAATACGGTGGAATATCCTTGCTCAAGGACTCTTCATTCACACTTGTTCAAGTCGGGTTTCATGCCAAACTATATTTGTTGGACAAAGCACGGAGAAACCGGTGTTGTAATGGAAGAAGGTGAAGAAGAACAATGGGATGACAATGATATTATTCCCGATGGTGCGTGCTTCAATGATCTTGCAATGGGAGAAGTTGAAGAAGAGGTAGCCGCGCGAAGATGAGCCGGTGATGATCTTTCTCGGTCATTCGTGACGCTTTACAAAGAGAATGTGAAAGTGAAAAGGAGAAGATCAAGTTGACGGATGCTAGAAGATCACAAGAAATTGTTGTACCCAACTTGTGATGCAGGCGAAAAAAGTTGGGAACCACACTAAATTAAGCTTTGCAATGGAAGGCAAAGAATGGTGTATCGACAAGGGATTTGGAGAGTTACTAAAAATTCAAAAGAAGATGCTTCAAGGACAATGAATTGCCCGCCACTACCTCTGAAAGCAAAACAAGTTGTCTACATCCTATGGGGCTAGAAATAGAGAAGATACATGCATGTCCTAATGATCGCATCCTGTCTCTAAATGGCAAAGAGTACGAGAAATTGGATGCATGCCCGGTATGCCATGCGTCATGATATAAGATCGGTGAGATGAGATGACCACAGGTGATGTTGAGGGCGAAACGTCCGCGTAAGAAAATCCTGCCAAGGTTATGTGGTATGCTCCTATAATACCATGCTTGAAACGTCTGTTCGAAACAAAGAACATGCAAAATTGTTGCGATGGCACAAAGAAGACCGTAAGGTAGATAATATGTTGAGACACCTGGCGATGGGTCCCAATGGAGAGCAATCGACGAGAGAATTCTGGAGTTTGCAAATGGCGCAAGAAACTTAAGGTTTGCTTTAAAATACAGATGGTATCAATCCTTTTGGAGAGCGAGCAGTAGTCATAGCACTTGGCACATGTTACTCTAAGTATCTACAACATTCCTCCTTGGTTATGCATGAAGCGGAAGTTCATTATGATGCACTGTGCTCATCCAAGGCCCGAAGCAACTTTGGCAATGACATCGATGTGTACCAGAGACCACTTATTGACGAACTTCTCATTTTATGGAATAAAGAAGGTGTGCGTGTGTGGAATGAGTACAAACAGGAACACTTTGATCTGCGAGCATTGTTGTTCATAACAATCAATGATTGGCCTGCTCTAAGTAATCTTTCGAGGCGATCAAACAAGGGATATAATGCATGCACACACTGCTTGGTGATATTAGAGGTGTATTCTTGAAAAAAATGTCGAAAGGTCGTGTACCTTGGCCATCGTCGATTTCTTCACCGCAAATCACCACAGTAAGAAAGAAAGGCAAGCATTTTAAAGGGAAGGCGGACCACCACGACCAAGCCTCGCAAACCGAACCGGTGAGGATGTACTCGATATGGTCAATGATGTGAAAGTCGTCTTTGGAAAAGGACATGGAAGCCAACCTATTCCAAAAGACGCTAACGGTCACGCACCCATGTGGAAGAAGAAGTCCATATTTTGGGACCTACCCTATTGGCAAGTCCTGGAGGTCCGTAGCTCCGATCGACGTGATGCACTGACGAAGAATCTTTGTGTGAAGAACCTGCTAGGCTTTATGGGTGTGTATGGAAAGCCTAAGGACACATTTGAAGCACAGACAGGACTGCGTTGTTTGAGAGAAAGAGACAACCTGCATCCGAGAGAGATGGATGATGGACGCCATTACTTACGTCCCCGCTAGCTACACTCTAAGCAAAGAGGAGAAGGAAATCATGTTTGAATGCTTAAACAACATCAAGGTACCATCTGGATTCTCCTCGAATATAAAGGGTATTATAAATGTGCCAGAGAAGAAATTCTGTAACTTAAAGTCCCATGACAGTCACGTTCTCATGACGCAA